AAAAAAAAAAAAAAAGAATATTAAATATCACTACACTAAAAGTTAGAAAAAAATACTAAGTGCATTATATAATACTAAGTGCATTATATATTTATTTGTCCCTTTACAACATTTACATTTAGATATATTAATTACTCAACAAAACTTCGGAAAAATAGATACCGTGGTAAACAATTTCTTGATGTTTCAAACATTAAAAAATACTATAGAAAATGACTAAGAATTGTATTATTATTATTATTAGGCAACTATTATTATTATTATTATTGTTGTTGTTGTTAGGATGGATATGTGTTTAACTTTTGCATGTGTATAATTTCTATAGTCTCACAAAGACTTTGGAGGATTTTGCTTTGAACATGAATAACATTAACTCTAGTGTACTGGTGCAACCAAACCTAGCGGTGCAAAGCATCAAGTTGACAAATTGGACCCCACAAGTGCAATTCTTCTCTGCAACAGGTCAGTGCCAAAACCTCATATAAAGTGTAATTATTATACATCTGTGTTGATATCAGAAAGACATCTCTACTTCTTAAACTAAACTAAGCTGCATTTAACTAGGACTGTCAGAGTATTTTCCTGAAAGAATTGGTCTGGGTGCAGACGCTGCATCTTCTTCGGGACGTCCCGCTGATCTCGTGCTAAATATCAAACTGCAGAACCATTCCCAGAAAGACTGGGGTACCGTTTATGTTTCTGTTCTCATTTTGAGGGATTCATAATTAAAACTCAAAGTTTTGAATACCTTTTCCCTCTGTTTCCCCACAGGGAACATAAATCTCGGTATTGGAGTGGTGCTTTATGAAAATGATCAGTTTTTCAACTCAAAACAATTTAATAGTGAACTCGATACCAAGAGAAGGGTGGTGTCGGCCAGCCTGACAGACAGGAGCTTGCTTGATAACGTGGAGTTCACCATCAGACCTGAGGTAAATGATTGTAAAATCATAATGATTACATAAAATATAGCAGCTTCTCAATCACTCGTGTTATTAGTCAATAAAACACCTACATATGAATTAACGTACAGTCAGTTGTTACTTCAAAATAAACCCTGTCAAGGTGATGAGGATCAGGTATGACCGGTTTGTATATTATACTGCTCAATTTGCAGCAACTTGGCCCAAAAAATAAATAAATAATAATAATAATGAAACGAAATAATGACAATAATGATGAAACATTGACATAGAAAAAAATGAATTATAATTTATTTATTCATATATATTTATCTGAATATTTGAATAAATTAATATGTAGTAAGGATATAATAAATGAGGAAGAAAACAAGTTAATTAGCTAACTAGTTAAAATTACTGAGTGCATTTCTATTTAAATTAAGTTTTTTAATTGTAGTTATAATAATTTTTGTATCTTTGTTCTCAGAAATAAATAACTAAGTGCATTGTAAAATAACTATGTAAACACCAAAACGCCAGTATTATTCTGATTTTATTGCATTTAGAGTAAGTGGCGAATAGTGGATAATACTGTAGCCTATATAATGCATCTATTGACGGAATAAGGTTGCGCTGCTGAAGCGAGGCTCGTGCAGCCTCTCCAGGAGAAATCAAAACGCGCAACACTAAGAAACTCAGCATCCTGAGGTAAAAATTCAAAATGGAAAGTTTTTATATTTAAAATACAGTTAGTTAGGCAACATCACACAACGTTTTCACCATTACGAATGTTTAATAGTTATATAAACAGTTCACTAAGCAAATACAATAATTTTAGGTCACTTACATTTTAGGTGGAACACAGCGCACCTCACAGCAACCAGCCTATTCATTGTTGATTGATTCCGTGTTTTGAACTAATCGGTTGAGTCAAAGTTTCATTAGCCCACGCAATAAACATCTGATGAATCTGCCGTTTGAACGAATCGTTTGAATGAACGACTCAATGACTCACTCATTAAACGCTCACTACTGGCACTGGTGTTTTAATTTCGTTGAAAAGTATGATTTCCACCATTATTTCTTGTTTGTATATTCAGAAATGTTTAAAATAATCTCATAATATTATTTAATGCCGTTGTATTTTTCAGTGTACATGATTTCATTTGATAACGTATAGATAATCACATTATTATAATTGAATTTATAGATAAAAAATGTAAGAATTTGAAATGAAAGTATTAATGAGATTAGTGGGAAAATGCCCTCTATAAAGGTAAAAAAATGCCCTTGGATAAAATATAAAAAAAACATGCAGATTTATATGTCACAGCTGATAGAAAACTGATGAGAATATTGCTTCAGATTGTAGATTAAATGTAAGAATTTGAAATGAAAGATGAAGTATTAATAAGGTTAGGGGGAAAATGCCCTCTATAAAGGTAAAAAATGCCGTTGGATTAAATATAAAAAAATATTCAGATTTATATGTCACAGCTGATAGAAAACTGATGAGAATATTGCTTCAGAATAAATCATATTTGCAAAAAACAACACACACACACAGATATATATATATATATATATATATAAGCTCGATACCATACAGCCCCCCCACATAACAAATCCCAATTTAACCCCTGTATATATATATATATTGTGTCTTTATGTTTCTAGAATACATCCGGCTCAGCATCTTACGACTTTGCATGTGTGTTTTGGGACTACACTCACAGAGACTGGAGAACAGAGGGCTGCGTCAAAATGCGCGATCCTAGTGGAGTGCACTGTGAATGTAACCACACCACCAACTTTGCAGTTCTTGTGGTTAGTTTATCATACATGTTTTAAGCTAGTGAGCTGCCTAGATAGACAGCATAATGGAACATAATTTCCTATAGAAACTCTCTATATATGCAGTAAATAATTTTCCTTGCATAAAGGGCAAAGAAGACACGACTCGTAACTGATTTTAAGAGAATCTGCCGTTAGCATGATGCTAAGCTAACTTAATTTGTTATGTTAGCTTACCTAATGTGGTAGTTAGTACAAATACACAGAGCACTTTAATGTTTGGTGAATGTAGGTGAACTGTATATATTTATTATCGAGATTTCTCTCTCTTTGTAGAGCTTTAGAGCAGACTACACTTATTCTGAAGCGTTAAACTGGATCAGCATTGTGGGATGCAGTCTGTCTATTGTGGGTTTGGTTCTCACCACAGTTTATCAAATTAAGACCAGGTAAATGCACTGGATACATTTAAGAATAAATGGACCTTTACTGTACTGTACCATGGTAAACTAATTCTATCATTGTACAGTATACTGTGATTTAGGGCTGCACAATTAATCAAATTTCTAATCGCAATTACAATTACGGATGCCACAATTACATAATCGTTCAAAGCGGCAATTAATGGTTAGTCCACTTATGGTATTCTACGTGCTTAAGATGTGTTTTTTTTTTTCTTCCATTGTTTTCATTTAGTTTTAGTATAACATTATAATATCATGCATATTTTTACTTTTTAATTTAAAGAAGAAACCAATCCAATGTATAGTTGACATTTGAGGCTTGATACCATAGAAAAGCAATAAACGTTTTTGAGTTTGAGTGTTTTCAGCTTGTTTATTTTCATATAAAAATAAGGCATGCAGTTCCTTCAAACAATGGCATAACGCTATTCAAAACATAATTTAATGCAAATTGTGATCATCGTAATTAATAATCGCAATTACAATTTCAAGGGAATAATTGACAGTTATGATTTTTGTCATAATCGTGCAGCCCTACTTTGATTTCATACTATTGAATGAACCATATTCATATGTTGCAATATTTAGGGTACTTTCGTCTACTTTAAAGAATACCATGGTATTACCATGCTACACTGAGGAAAATAAGCCTTTCTTAATCAGTATTTTTTTCTTATTTTCCAGTAAAAATATTGAAACATTCTTAATCACGGTAAATGTATTTAGAAACAAAATTGCTCATTTGTTTACATAGAATATATTGAAATAATTAAAGTTCTCCATACTTTATTTATTTATATTTTTAAACAATTCTAGCAATTTTTAGTGATGTGTGCTTAAAAAACATATTTTGCCAATAGTGTAAGATAAAATTAAATAATAAAATTCAAATACATTCTTTATTTTATTTTATTTTTATTTTAGGGATATCTGATATATTAGGACCATATCTATTTTAGATAATTTAACGTTCATTCTTTAAAAATGCTATTTTACAACACTGTTAAATGTAATCTTTAGCAAATCAATGAATGTTTCATATGTACATTCAATGTTGTGATGCTTAAATCTACCTGTTTTTAATTTATTTGGACAAAATAGTATAGAATTTTATTATTGTTCATGTGTCGGTTATTCACCATAAAAAGCAAATAATTATCAGCATACTGCCCAGAATTTATTATCGGTGCATCTATAATATTTTTTACTGGAAAACAAGACAAAAATACTGATATTTTGCAACATTTATTGCAGATCATGTATTTCTATTTTATCATGTCCACCAAACTAATAGTAATTCTATAGAACTGGTTTGTGGAACAGTCAAAATTAAAGGGTATTTATTTTTTTTAGATTAATTCTCTTGATTTATTTTTTCATAAACTCTACAGGAAACAGAGAGGAGCCAACTCCACTATGCTCTTGGTGAACATCTGTTTGTGCATGACCACCTACTACCTGCTCTTCATTTTTGGGATCAACAACCCGGTCCAGAGCTCAAAGGCATCTGTTTCAGAGCAGAACGTTATTCCTTCTTCAGATTTGCAGGAGAAAGTCGATCAGGGTCCTTGTACAGCAATCACGGCTCTGTTGCAATACTTCCTGCTGGCCACGTTTGCCTGGAACATCCTGTATGCGGCTCATGTGTTTTTCCTCATTCGAAATGCCCTCAGCGGTCCACCTCGAGCTTTCCGCACCATCGCCATGACAGTCGGCTGGGGTACATTTAAACACACTGATATTAAAAGTCATGACAGTTTGATTCTGTTTACATACATAGTTTATATTTAATAGTAAAATTCTGACTGATACTGATTTCATGTTATTGTATGTTAATATTAAAATTCTATACTATTTAGTTAATATACTACTATAACAGTAAATAAACGATCATTTTAAATGCTATATGTGAATTTAGGCTTCACAACATTATAAAGTACAGTATGGAAATGGATATTCTTTTTGAGATTAGCTGAAGATGACATTTAACTTGTTAATTTATTGTTATTATTAAAGATTAGCGTTTAAGTGAGCAAAAGTAGCCTAATCTCAAGATATAAAATGAGAAAGGAACATGAGGATAATCATATCATTTATTATAATCATTCTGAAAAATCACATTCATATATAATATGTCTAGGTCTGCCTGCTGTTATTGTCGGCATCTCGCTGTCCACCACCTACAGCTTTAGGAATCCTTTAGGTTATCGACAAGAGGAGTTGTAAGTGAAAAATCGCTTCTATCGCTTTATCCACCTTATATTTCACCGCGGAAGTAAGCTATTTCCTGTGAATGTGCAAGACTTCCACTTCTTTAGCCACTAGAGTTAAATAACTAGAAGAATAACATTCAGTAAATGGGGAAAACTCTTCCCAGATAGCACATGTCTGTTAAAGATATCTGATAGGAAACGTCCTATAGATGTATTGCAGATGAGCAAACACTCTAAAAAATACACCTTACAGATGTAAATGAAGATAGACGTCTGTACGTGATGTACGTGTGCTATCAGGGTTTACACTGCAAACCTACAAACCATAGTGTTTATGATTACAAAAATAAATTAAAATAATATGATTGCACATCAGTTTAAAACATCAAGCAGCATAATGGACTGTTTTTGTGCTTTTACACAAAGTTTTTGACACCGGAAGCTCACATTAAGGTTACAAATGTGGTTATCCCACACAAAAAAATATAGCGTTTTATTTGTAGTATTGGGTGCAAACAAAATCTTTTTAATGTAGAACATTACTTACACATTCCTCAGTATTTCTCGTTCTTTATTTCTCTTGTTGTTGTAGCTGTTGGCTGGCGTCTCTGGACAAGGCGGGAAGGTTTGATCCGAAGCGGCCGATGTTGTGGGGTTTCTTGCTCCCTCTAGCGGTCATGTTGTGTTTTAACACATCTCTGCTGGTCTACTTCTCTCAAACCATCTGCTGTGCGAATCCCAACCTCAAGAGGTACGTAACTGAACCGTGACCGAATGGTCCATGTTTAAAACAAAAGTTCAAGGTTAATGTAAACTTAATTGATGCTGTTAATAACATTCCCTTACTACAATATAATCAGTTTTGGTTTGAAAATAGTGCGAATTCTTTCATGTGACCAGTATCTGAGGTGTAATTCTCAGAGTGGCAACATTTGCAGTTCTGTAATAGTTAATATTTTCTATATTATTTTAATGTTCATTCTGGTTCTTTAGCTCACGAGGGACTCCTATGAAGAAGAAGATTTTGAGTAGTTTCTCTCTGGCTGTGGTGCTCGGTTTGTCCTGGATCGTTGGTTACTTTGTGCTCATCACTCATGACAAAACACTTTACATCATTCTCAGTGTGGTCTTCTGTCTCTGCAACACCACACAGGTGCGTTAATACACTATACTTATTATTATTTTTGATAAACTGACACTAGGACGGTATTTCATGTTCAGAAAAGATTTTTGTTAGATTTATTCAAGCTGATGTTTTAAGATATTATGTATATCTCTGTCTTGCATTGATTGGTGACTGACCACTACATTTTCTGTCTTTCAAAGGGTGTTCAGATTTTCATTTTATTCACACTGCAGTCTTTTCTAAGGACAAGGACTCGATATAAACTGGATTCTAAGACTGAATCAAAGGGGGAGCCTTAAAAATAATGGACACAAAAAGAGGACAACAGACAATATCATATACAACTCTTTTATTATTATATTTATTTTAATTGAAACTACTGTAATTTTTTGGTGATAGAAAACCATTTGTCTGGTGACATTTATTTTAATTAAATGTAATATCAAATGCATAGTCTCATACTATACAAGTAAAGTTGTTGATTTTACAATGCAGACAGTCCTTTAACCATTACTTTAGTCTTTAATTTTTATTGGACTTGCTTTAGAACAAATTATGGATTTAAATTTACTTTGTAGTCATAAAAACATGATATGGAAATGTATGTGGTTTGTTTATTTTATTTATTCTTTATGGCTCTTAAGGTTCAGCAAATGTGAAACAACACATACTGTAACTATAGTTTAAAGTAATGTTTGTTATATGTGAACACATTGTCATGGGTAGGTTCCACAAAAGGCAAGTTGAAGATCCATTCTAATCTAAGATCTAACAGTATTTTTTAAAAGAAAACTAAAGTCTGCAACAAGAAAGTCACAGGCGAACAACACAGGAGTAACAGGACAAGCCAACCCCAACAATGACGTCAGCGCCACTGATTAATTGATTTATTAATAAATAAATAAATATAAAAAATAAAAACATAAATCAATCATTTAATCAATAAATAGATGAATAAATAAATAATAGGTTTGCGTTTTAATAATTGATTAATAGGTTTGCGCTGATTAATCATTGTTTAACACACATTAATGACAGCACATTAAATATGTTTATCAACATCAACAAGCCTCTGACAAAAATACCAGCATTACCTAGGAAACACTAAAAAGTGCATACTGCTGTTGCTCGCGCCATGGAGCGTTGTTAAAGTCACCGCTGAACGCTGTTTCACAGACGGCACTTTGATATCAGACAGCCAGTGATTTTTAAAATAAAAAAATCAGTTGGAGAGCTACGTAAATATGACCTGGGGGGCACCAATTGACTCGCCCTGCCATAAATAATTTATTGTAGCCTATTCTTTTTTATTACTATTTCTCGTAATCGTTGCGGTATGCTTCCCTAACACGTCAAATTTCAAACGCAGCAGGCTCCGGTCAGAAGTCTGTGGGATTCCCTGCACATTGCCAAAGGGGTACCCAGTGCGTTAACAAATGACGCCAAGGGATCCTGACTAAGCATCCATATGTGACGAGTTGGGAGTGAGAACGTGTTGACCCCAAACATTGACAAGATCCTTAACAAGCCAGGTGTATAAAGTACCTGGACAGTAAAAAGGACAGTTCACCCAAAAATGAAAAACTTGTCATCGTTTACTCACTCTCATGCTGTTCCAAACCTGTATCAGTACATCAGCACAACAATCATGTTGATAACCAAACAGTTGCTGGTATAGCCACTGAATTACATAGTGTTTTTTTTCTTCCATATGGAAGGCAATGGCTACCAGCAACTGTTTGGTTATCAACATTCACCAAAATATCTTCTTTTGTGTTCAACAGAAGAAAGAAACAGACAAAAGCAGGAATAACAAATCCTAAACTCTAAAACAAAGAGCCATTTCAGCATAAAAAGGTTCTTCAGGATGATATGGTAAATAAAAACTGTTACTGCATATAAAGAAACATTTTTTTAGAGTGTAGGAAACCAGGAACAAGGAACAAGGAACTCAGAACAAGATTAAAATTATCTTAAGATAAAAGACCATGAACACAGGTGACTGCTGTAAATCTTTAATTGCAGCTGTAAACTAAACATTATAAAAAAAAAAAACAAAACATCCAAGATATGCAGGGGTTGGACAAAATAATGTGAACGCATGGGACATAAGCAATAGTTTATTATTAAGGTGTTTTACCACTTTTTACCGCATTTGCCTTTAGTACAGATTTCAACCTTCTTAATTAATTAATAGATTAATACAACTTCTGAATAGTTTCCACTTGAATGTTGTCTATACAATAAAAGCATCTGCCAGTTGCTTTAGCAAAATTCTCTGTAAAACTGTCCACAGTGGTTTGATAATATTAAAGCTAGGTGATTTGTCTGGCCAGGGCAGATGTTGAGTTTCATCTTGGTGCTCCAATTGTCCAGGTTTTATGATCATGACACCTTTTCTGCATTTTAGCACTGTGATTCAACTTTTAGCAGTTGCAGATCTTATATGGATGTTGTCTTCGTTAGGTTCTCTGTGGTTAGTTTTTGTGGAAGCATTATCTTTAAGGCAGATATTGAGGTTTTTCTGTCACTTTACCTGCAGTAGTTCTTTGTTGGTTGGACTTACTCCTTCCTGGTGTTCAGTGGTCCCTTTCATTCACTTTCAGTTTTTAGACACTTTTCTTTCTGCAGATGAAGTCTTGTCATGCTTTGTCATAATGTTCTTAAAACACCAAACAATTGGGCTGTTAAGGTTACAGGTAAAAAAAAAAATATATATATATATATATATATATAAAATAGCAGCTTTTTTTTTCACTGTATCCTACAAAATTGTATTAATCCCATTACAATGTGTGTCACATTATTTTGTCTAGCCTCTGATATGTTCTGTGTGAATAACATATGCAAAATATGCAATATACTATTATTGTGCAGTGTAGGGGTGTGCGATATATATCGTCTGCGATAATATCGTAATTGTTGTTTTAACGATGTGCGATTTGACATTATAGAGTATTTTGCAAAAACCATTCAAAACATCGCTACAGAGCGCATGCATACATTACGTGAAGTCTAGACTAGTGCGTGTGCGCATTTAGAGTGCTTTCTTTCACTGCATGATTCAGTCTATTAAAATGCATTTAGAATGATCACAAATTCAA